TGATGACCACTGATCTCTGTGACTGCTTCCTTTATGGTGTTTTAGGCTCAGCATTTTTCTTTTTACTAGAACAGCAATGGAAAAAAATGGTTTGCTTTTTGACAGGAGATCAGTTCAATTTCTTTAGGGTTTAGAGAACCCCCTGAACAATAAAACACTAACTGGTCAAGTGTGTTTTGAAAATATTTGCTGTACTACTGACTTTTTTTTGTATATACAATGCTTACGAGTCAGCTTGTCATAGAATATCTCAGTTGAAAGGAGCCTACAACAATCATCCAGTCCAGCTGTTTGCCCAATTCAGGGCTGACCAAAAGGTAAAGCATGCTATTAAGAGCACTCTCCAAATACCTCTTAAACACTGACAGTCTTGGGGCATTGACCACCTCCAGGAAGCCTGTTTCAGTTTTTGACCACCCTCCTGGTGGAGAAACGCTTCCTAATGCCCAGCCTGAACCTCCCCTGGTGCAGCTTTGAACCATTCCTATGTGTCCTGTCATTGGATACCAGGGAGAAGAGCTCAGCACCTCCCTCTTCTTATCCCCTCTTCAGGAAGCTGTAGAGAGCAGTGAGGTTGCCCCTCAGCCTTCTTTTCTGTAAACTAGACAAACGCAGAGTCCTCACCACTCCTCATAGGACATTCCCTCCAGCCCTTTTACCAGCTTTCTCTTTCTCTGAATGTATTCAAGGACCTTCATATCCTTCTTCAATTGTAGTGCCCAGAACTGCACATGGTCCTTAAGGTGAGGCCACACTGACACTGAACAGCAGGACAATCACCTCTTCACTAGCTGGTGATGCTGTATTTGATGCATCCCAGGGTGCAGTTTCCCCTCCTGGCTGCCAGGGCACACTGCTGACTCCTGTAGAGACCAGGACCTCCAGATCCCTTTCTGCAGGGCTGCTCTCCTGGCACTTTTCTCCCAGTTTGTACTCGTGCCCAGTGTCGCTCTGCCCTAGGTGCAGAATCTGACATTTATTCCTGTTAAATTTCATACTACTGAAGATTGGCCAATGCTCTAGTCTATCTAGATTCCTCTGCAAGACATCTTGTCCCTCAAAAGAGGGACACTTTGGTATCATCAGCAAACTTGCTAATGGTGCATCCAACTCCTGCATCCAGATCTTTGACAAAAATATTGAACAGAAGTGGCCCTAGAGTTGAACCCTGAGGAATGAGGCTGGGAACCTGTCACCAGCCAGATGTAGCTCCATTCACTACAACCCTTTGGGCTCTGCCCTTCAGCCAGTTCTTCAACCAGTCACCATAATCCTGCTCATCCCACAGTGGGGCAGCTTGTCCCAGAGGATGCTGTAAGGGACAGTATGAAAAGCTTCACTAAAATAAAAAAATATGCATCCATCATCACCCTTCATCTGCAGGTGACCTTATCATAGAAGGATATCAAATTAGTTAAACAAGACTTACCCTTTGTGAACCCATGTTGACCGTGCCTGATGACTGCATTGTTCTTTGAATGCCTTTCTATAGTACCTACTATAATCTCCATAATTTTTCCGTGAACTAAGCTTAGACTAACCTCAGGCTTGTAATTTCCTATGTCTTCTTTCGCACCCTTTTTGTAATTGGAATAACATTGACTAGATTTTAGTCAGTGAGGACCAACCCAGATTCCCAAGATAGTAATGATCAAGAGGGGTTCTGCCATAATATCCTTTGGCTCCTTCAATACTCTGGGATGAATCTTATCAGGCCCCATGGACTTGAAAACATTGAGATGATACAGCTGGTTCCTTACAATTTAAGTGTCCAGAAGTGGAAAGTCATTGTTCCCATACTCGTGCCCTCCAACTCGGGGGACTGGGCAGCCCAAGATCTGTCAGAAAAAAATACATTGACTATCTCTGCTTTATTGTTGTCCCTATTAGTCAGGTGACCATAACCAACAAGTATCAGTCCTGTGTGTTCTTTAGACCTCCTTTTTGCCATTAATGGACTTAACAAAGTCCTTTTTGTTGTCAGATTCAGCACTGTCCAGTTTCAGTTCTAACTGAGCTTTGGCCTTTCATCGTGCATACACATTTCAGAAAGACTGCCTTGAATTTCTGGAGAAATTTTTACAGTCACTTGCAAATTTTGATTCCTTTTGAGGAAAAAAGTGAAATTTAAATTATAAATTGGACTTCTGTGTAATATAATAACATGTTTTCCACAAAAAGTCCTAATTCTTTGATGAAAATATTTAGCTTTCAAATTATTTCGTATATTGGAGAGGGGGGAAAAAAAGCAAATATAGAATTTGAGCTAATTCAAGGTTTAAATGAAAATAGATATTTAAATTTAATCTTGATGGCTCATTCCTAAGTCCTAAGGAATCAAAAACTCTGGAAAAACAAATCAGAGTATTTATAAACTCCTGATGCCTTAAGGGACACTTTTCTAAAGTCTGGGACAGGTGGTGACCACTATTGGTGGTACTGTGAGAACCTTCATCCACCAGTTCCCTCAAGACCCACAAATACATCTCATCAGGTCCCATGGAATCTTCAGGTGACTTAGATGTTCTTATGCATTGTCATCTTCTACAGCAGGCAGTTTTTCTTTCTCCCTGCTCCTGCCTTTGCCTTCTGCAACTTGGGAAGTGTGCCTGGAGCTCTTGCAGATAAAGATTGAGGCAAAGAATCTGTTCCATTGAATTCTTCAGCCTTCTCCATGTTCTGGGTAACCATGTGTCCCATTTCCTTCTAGAAACAGTCCACATTTTCCCTAGTCTTCCTTTTATCACCAGCATATCTTATAGAGGCTTTTCATGTTGCCCTCTACTTCTCTGGCCAGATTTAGTTCTGTCAGGGTTTAGCTTTCCTCACGTGATCCCTGGCTGCTCAGACAGTTTCTCTGTATTCCTCCCTATCCTTGCTTCCACCCTCCATAGGCTTCCTTTTTCTGTTGGAGTTTGTCCAGGAGCTCCTTGTTCGTTCACACAGGCTTCCTGCTGATTTTTGCCTGACTTCCTGTTTGTCAGGATCTGTTGCTCCTGAGCTTGGGGGAGGTGATCCTTGAACATTAACCAGCTTTCTTGGGCCCCTCTTCCCTCCAGGGCTTTATCCCATATAACTCTATGAAGCAGATCCCTGAAGAGGCTGAAGTCTGGTCTCCTGAATTGCAGGGTAGTGAGCTTGCTGTGCACGCTCCTTGCTGCCCTAAGGATCTTGAAATCCAGCATGGCCACTGCAGCCAAAGCAAGCTTCACACTCCACACAAGCCACTCCTTGTAGGTGAGAACAGGGTCCATCACAGCCCCTCTCTTCATTTGATCTAATGTCACTTGGAGAAGGAAGCTCTCATTGATGTGCTGGGATCTGAATCACACGTTTCATAGGGTTCTCACCATTTTCCCAGGAGAAGTACAGACCCAGCCACAGACAAGTTTAGCCTTTTTGAAGTAGGAAGAACAGTGCTGGTTTGTCTGCTATCCTGTACCATGAAGAAAGACAGGAAGGGAGACTGGATGCTACAGGCTGCTTCTGAGGGTATCCACTGCTATAGAAACTCTTAATAAAACCTTTGGTAGCTCACCTGTTCTTCCCTGTTTAGGCAGAAATTAAGATAGATCTGTATAACCTGCCATCACTCATTCATTTTTGTGAGGAAATATTCGTGTACTTGAGTGTGGTGTCTACAGTAATACAACTATGTATTTGCTTAGCTGTTAAAATTCTTTGTAACCTTACTGTGACCAGTAGACATGGTTCCAAGCAATCTTTGATTTCTTTGGGTTATCACTGGCAAGAATGAATGACCTTCAGGCCAGAAACTCTGGAACATTTTCCTGGCCTTCTTAATACTGCTGACTAAAGCACCAAGTCCTGCTTCAAATAGCAGTCTGGATTCAGCCTTCAGTGTATAGTGTGCCTAGCTCCGTACTGTGGGCCAGCGTTTGTGTTCTGGGTTTGTTGGCACAGAAGCAATAACCATTTGGTTTTAATGAAAAAAGGAAAATAAGCTGGCATGGGAAATGTTTTTAAGAGGTAGTGAACTATGTTTTTGTTTTTCTGTCTTCAAAACAGAGGGCATTTAGCTAATTATGTTTTCTAAACATAATCACAACAGTACATCCCAATGACAAAAAAGAAAATAGATGTAAATTGAAAGAAGTTGGAGGAAATGCAGCATTATTAACAGCAGAAATTTGACTATAATTCCTTTTTTACCCCATGCGTTACTTCAGTGTAGCAACAGGAAGAGATTCAAATTGCTTGCAAAACTTCTGCTTCCCTACCTTTGCAGTACTAAAAGGCTAGTAATGGATAGGTAAATATCAGAAGAGAGATGTCACAGGATGACAACTGGGTGGCTAGAGTATTGATTACAAGATGTGAAATCATTTGAGATACTTCAGTCTGTATCTGTAGATTGGCTGAAGCAGAGTGAGGATGGTGAGCAAGAGATTTGAGAAAATGACCATGGTGTTTCCTTCTCCCTTTTGGTCTCCTTTCAAAATATATATGTATGTATTTACATTAGCAGGATTTTGATCAAAATTTTGTTCTTGCATGCGCTGACAATATCATTAGTGTAAACTTGGGTCTGAATTGGTATGTCTGAAATACTGCTAAATTGCACTCATTCTCTCAAAGTATTCAAAGGGAGCTTTCAAAAGATATGACTCGTGCTTTTGTATGGTACCACTCCTATTCTGCTGCTCAGAAGAAGTGGCTTGTGGGCATCTGTTCCATGAAAGGATGCAGAATTGTCTTGTGGTGCTGAGTAATGGGGATTCAAAGGTTGCCCCTGTCTGAGGCTACAGTGAGGACCATACTGTGCTCAGTGCCTGCTTTGTATTCCTGTCTGGTGCAGCTCACTCTTCCCTCCGTAGGCTGTGTAAATGCTAAGGTGCCTCACTCAGGTGTGATTGTGCTGGGCTGTGCTCTTGGTTGGATTTCAGATGCTGCATAGCTAAGCCGTCTCTGAACTTTGTTGGATCTGTCTTTAGGTGTTTGTTTCCAAAAATAACCAGGATCATCTTTTTTCTCTCTAGAAAAGTTGATTGCATATCAACGGGAATTTCATGCTTTGAAGGAACGTCTTCGTATAGCTGAGCATCGCACTCTGCAACGCTCTTCTGAGCTGAATGCTATCTTGGAACAGTTCAGGCATGCAGTAGCTGAAACAAATGGGAGTAAGAATGCAATGAATAATTTTTCAGGTACATACTGTGATTGAGCTATTTTTTATAACTCTGCAATACCAGTATCTCTTCCTACTACTGTAGAATAAGAAATCAATACTTAGCCAAATGAAACCGTTCAGCAATACGAATAAAGAGTATGCAATGTGCTGTATTATGTGGGGATTCTTTTAGGGTTTTGTTTTTTCCAATTTCCATTCTTAATGATCTGCCTACTCTTCATTTTTATGACTTTAGGGACTGAATACTTATTCCACACCTAGCTCCCAAAGTTTGGAACTTGTAGTTACTTATTTAGTGTACTAAATATATTTTGACAATAATTTACATTACTTTTAAATAGAGCTTGAGGGGAAAGGTGAGCAAACAGAAGACATGGTTAACTTGAAGCAATTAGAATATGTTTAAAAGTCAGCTGGAATATGTAAAAACATACAGGTTAAGGTATTGGTTATGATTTGTAAAATACACATGTAATGTCCTATTTTAATAACTAGTGATTAAATGGTAAACTGTTAATCTTTTACCCTTTTTGGAGGTTGATGCTCAAGTTTACTGAGACCTGTGTTTGACAATATTAGAGAATACCTTTGCACTACTCACCGGATTATTGAAGTTAACTTTTAAAATCACACTATTACTGCTATAGTCACTCTAGTTTTTCTAGATGGATAAATGAATAACAAACAAATACAAGCTTTCTGGCAAGAGGTCTGATTTTGTAGGGTGCAGAAATTTCACTGTATTTGCTTAATGAGGAATATAAACCCAGAGAGTTTTGCGAATAAAAAAACCTGGATCAATTTTTTTTGAATCTACTTGCATTTGCGCTGTGGGTTGCAATTTTGTATGGATTTTTAATTTTTTTTTTTGTTCTGTCTGACACTGATTAACTGTCCAGCCTGATCCCCGTAGTTCCCTGGATCTCCAGGAATGGTGTGGATAAAGAGTACATTTAGCATAGTCTGTGTGTTTTTTACTGTTAAAGCAAACAGTCATAGAGGAGGTCAAGTTGTTTTGATACTGGATTTATGATTTATTACCACATTAATCTCTAAAAATGATTTCGTATGCTTTTAGATGTTATAGTTACAGGGAGTTATTCTCTTCTATGCAACTGAAGTTACTGATTCACATTTTTAATATTCTACTATGTCTGGATCCCAGCTGGAATATCCTTTTTTCTCCGTGTGGAGCCATGATGGGAAGTCAGCTGAAGTCTGAGTTCCTCAGCTTTTGTACTCAGAACTTAATATTAGATAGTTTGGTTTTTTTTTCTTTTAAATTAAGTTTAATGTACTTAAGTATACATATTACTATGTGATATTTGCTATCTTTGAAGCTGAAAAAATTCCTTTATGTAGATGGTTACTCATTCATAAAACGCTGTCATACTTTGACAGAATTTTTAATCCAGGTTTTGCAGTTGATGCTAAAGGAAATGGGTAACAGGAAAAGTAAAACGTAGCTGTATTAGAATCTATAAAAATAAGCATCTCTACATATGGCATCTGTTTACAAAGCTTTTTTTCAAGATTTTTAATGGTTAGAAATTTACTTTAACTCATATCTAAATATTAATAAAGCCCCAAATGAACCAAACGAAACTCCACAACAAAACCCTTCTATCTTTGTAGAAGCTACACTCAGAATCTGAGAGGAATGACATTTATAACATTACTTTTCTCACTTCTTCACAATTCAGTTTTATCTTGGAAACCTTGGGTACAGTTTTTTACTTAACTTGATATTATAAAGCCCATAAGTTTTGAAAGTTCCATATGCTATCATATTTGTCGTTTGAAATAGGAGTCATTTTCACACTTGATGTAAGAAAATCAACACGTACAGCAGGGGAATTTAAAAACTGTTATTTGCAACTTTGAGAGCCACCTGGACATCCTGTGAGGCAGTTACTTGAGAAAGAGTGAGAATTATTTAAGTACTCTAATGGACTAAATTAATTTCACGTTAGGATTTATTTTATTACAGAAACACTCAAAATCTCAATTGTGTATTTAATGCTGGTTTTGTTTTGTTATCTGCATGTGCAGTGTATTCCAATATGTATTTGTAGCTCTGAAAAATTATCTGCAGTAGCATCACTACATGGTGATGTGCTCTGTAAGCGTAAGTAAAAATTTATCTAGGTAAGTAAGACTCCCATTTTGATTCATTTTGGGGTAAAAAACCTTGAACCAAACCAGAAAAACCCCAAACAATGAAACCTGTAACTAAATGGAGCATTCTTTACTTCTGTGATTACACACTAAGTCTTATATGATCGGGTAAGTATTAACTATATTTGTAGCAAGGTTATTTGGTGCAAAATAATCTCAGCCGTTGTTTATTAAAAAATAAAAGAGGAAAATACTTCCTTTGTAAAAGAAATATAATGCCTCAGTAAAATGTATCATTTGTTCTGTTTCTCAGTCAGGGTCAAGTTTGGAATTTTGGACGATTTACCACTGCATAAAATTTCATATTATTTGTTTTCTGCATCACTGATTTCATGTATGTTTGCAGATGAGACGCTGAAATTGTTAAAAGAGCTAACAAGTAGAAAATCTCTTCAAGTGCCAAATATCTATTACCATTTGCCTCATTTGTTGAAAAATGAAGGAAGCCTTCAACCTTCTGTGCAGGTTGGCCTTGGAAGGACAGGAGGTATGCTGATAAGATGTTTATTTTATGTTTGATATCTGGAGGACTTTCTAGTTTTAGTAATGTAATTTCCTGCATTCCTTGGTCGATCAAGGACATCTCATTTCACTTGTGTGATATTGATATCTCTTAGAATTCACACTGAATCCAAGATGAAAGGAGTTTGACTTCACTTTATTTTTTGCATAATCTCAGTCACAGCTCATGCCATGTTAAGGTGCACATTAAGAAGCATTTAGTTTGGATGAATTTTTTGTAACTAAGTAAAAAGGAACAAAGCTCAGGCATTACAGATTCTGAACTGCTAATGGACATATCCCTTTGGCTTTTCAGATTTGTGGGGCAATCATGCATGGATATAATTATTTTGGAGTTGATGTTTCTGGTTTTTTGAACAATGTATAGCTTAGAGTTGGGAGAACTAGGATAATCCAATATAATTGGATGATAAAATGTAGACATTCACTGAAGGGGATTAAAAAATCAGTGTTGTGCTGCAGTACTGCTGATCTACCCCCCGCCTTTTTCTTTTGTTTCACCTAATGTTCACAAATTCTGAGCCTTGATTATTAGAATAGCTCCATTGAATCCCACTCGTGGAGCTCTATAAGATCGTATAAAGCCCAACCAATACCTCAAAGCATAGGTGTGTGTGACTAAGCTTGAAGGCCCCACTAATGAATCCTTGTTTCTGTTTGTACCATCTGACTTGAAGGGTTCATGTTATTGTCCACTAGATCCTTCTCTTTTCTTTCCCCCCTCCTTGCTTTTGAAGGAAGCATTAATTACTTCTGGCCTGTAATTTTATTCATTACTTCAGTACATTTGATTGGTCCTTCTTTTAACAGAAGGCATGCCTGTGTGACAAATGTGTGGGTTTCAAGCCACAGGGTTATTTTTCTGACACTGTTTATTTCAATCTTGTTATTCAGGAAGGAAGAGACATATATTCCTTTATTGTTTTAAGTGAAGCCTGTATTGTATCCTACTGGGAATATATGACAGAAGTTTGAAATTGTAAAATAGAAATTGGAATGAGGTTTATTAAAAAGAGGGAGGAAATTCTGAGTTAAAAGTTATTTTCTCACTTTCCCCTTTCCTGGTCACTGTGTTTTTTGAGTGTTTGTTTTAAAAATTCAGAGCTTGCTAATGTGTAGTTGCTAGGTGAGCCAGGCTCTGTAAGGAAGGATAAACAACACTTTAAATAGTTGTTTGGGTTTATATATTCATGATGTGGTAAATTATTTCACATAAATGGCTCAGAATGCTGGTGCTGACTTAATGAAGTCTGTTTTATCCTTTCACTGTATTCTTGCTGCTGTCTGCTGTGTCCTATTAGGTAGTCAGTCCTGGCTATGGGGTAGGGTACAAAAGAAAGACTCTGGGAAATTTAAGGAACATGGAAGTTAAATGGGCAGCTGAAAGGTAGTGTTAATATTGTTGTAGCAGGGGCCAGATTGTTTTGCATTCGAGGTGCTTTTAACAGGGATAAGAGATTTCAGTGAGGAACTTCTGGATGATCCTGATGACCTGGACTTGTTTTTCTAGAAGAACCCAAACCAGGTGCAAGGAAAGTAAGAGTTTTTCACTGGTGTCATTTTAAAAGAAGACCTCTGAGAAGTTAAATACTTGAATAGTGAAGAATGGTTATGCCAGTTTGAAAACAAAGCTGAGTTGGAGAGTTTAATCACTGTTAGTCTTGGTGCACCTTATCTGATTGATATGATGGTTGTTCATTGTTACCTATTTTGTGGCAAGGTTTTGGTAGTGCGGGGAGTATGGTGTGGCTTCTATGAGAAGCTGCTAGAAGGTTTCCCTGTGTCTAATGGAGCCAATGCCAGCTGGCTCCAAGACTGACCCACTGCTGGCCAAGGCCGAGCTCATCAGCAATGCTGGTAGCACCTCTGGGATAACGTTTAAGAAAGGAGAAAAAGTTACAGCACAGGAGCAACTACAGCCAGAGAGAGGAGTGAGAATGCAAGAGAACAACAGCCCCGCAAACTCCAAGGTCAGTGCAGAAGGAGGGCAGGAAGCGCTCCAGGTGCCAGAGCAGAGATTCACAGGCTGGGCAGAGAAGAAATTCAGAGCAGCTCTGTGGAGAAGGACTTGGGGGTGTTGGTCGATGAGAAAATGAACATGAGCAGGCAGCGTGCGCTCACAGCCCAGAAAGCCAACCTTATCCGGGGCTGCATCAAAAGGAGCGTGACCAGCAGGTCGAAGGAGGTGATCCTGCCCCTCTACTCTGCTCTTGTGAGACCTCACCTGAAGTATTGTGTGCAGTTCTGGTGTCCTCAGCATAAAAAGGACATGGAACTGTTGGAACAAGTCCAGAGGAGGGCCACGAGGATGATCAGGGGACTGGAGCACCTCCCGTATGAAGACAGGCTGAGAAAGTTGGGGCTGTTCAGCCTGGAGAAGAGAAGGCTGCGTGGAGACCTCGTAGCAGCCTTCCAGTATCTGAAGGGGGCCTACAGGGATGTTGGGGAAGGACTCTTCATTAAAGACTGTAGTGATAGGACAAGGGGTAACGGGTTAAAACTTAAACAGGGGAAGTTTAGATTGGATATAAGGAGGAAATTTTTTCCTGTTAGGGTGGTGAGGCATTGGAATGGGTTTCCCAGGGAAGTTGTGAATGCTCCATCCCTGGCAGTGTTCAAGACCAGGTTGGATGTGGCCTTGGGTGATATGATTTAGCGTAAGGTGCCCCTGCCCACAGCAGGGGGGTTGGAACTAGATCATCTTAAGGTCCTTCACAACCCTAATTATTATGATTCTCTGATTTTGCTGCAGCCCATGGTGCTGCCCGTGGTGAGGCAGGCTGTGCCCCTGCACCCCATGGAGGTCCATGGTGGAGCAGATGCCCACCTGCAGCCCATGGGGGACCTCACACTGGAGGAGGTGGATGCCAAAAGGAGGCTGTGACCCCATGGGAAGCCCAGGCTGGAGCAGGCTCCTGGCACAGGACCTGTGACCCAAAGAGAGGAGCCTAGTACTGCAGTACTTGTGATCCTGTGGGGACCCATGCTGGAACGGTCTGCTCCTGAGGGACTGCACCCCATGGAAGGGACCAATGCTGGAGCACGCGGGGGATGTGAAGAGTCCTCCCCTGAGGAGGAAGGAGCATCAGACAACATGTAGTGAACTGACCACAACCCTTTTCCCCATCCCCCTGAACTGCTGGGGAGGAGGACGTAGAGTTGAACCCTGGTGTTCAGCCGGGGTCAATCCACTGCACGTATACAATGATCTGGCATGTCTAGGATTACTTTCTTTTTGTTTGCTTGTTTTCTCTAAGTGTTGGTGACGATTATGTTAATCATGCTCCTGATGATGGGTGGTATATTTTTAAACTCTTTTTAATTACTGTTATCTCCATCTATTAACTCTGCATTTCTTAAGCAGTGCTTCATTGCTAGGTAAGATTTTTGTTTTCAATCACTGAAAGTACATTTCTGGTTTGTTTGATTTCAGTTTCCATTGTAATGGGAATACCTACAGTGAAAAGAAAAGTCAAGTCTTACCTTACAGAAACTCTCCACTCCCTTATTGATAAGCTGTCCCCTGAAGAAAAACTGGACTGTGTTATGGTTGTCTTTATAGGAGAGGTAATCACTTAAATATTTTATGCAATTTCTTTACCTGCCTTTATAATTACAAGTACCACTCCTTTCAGCAGTTGATGAGGTTCTAGTTTTTCTTCAAGATGTAGACAGATGACTCATTCCATAAAAAGGAGACTGCATCAGTCTTGTATTTCTGATAGAAACAACCCTGAAGAGCCCAGATTTGTCTGTTTATCACGGGAATAGTGGACATAGAATCAGTGGACTGGTTATTTCTGTTTATGCATAATGACAGACATATGCTAATTACCTTATTCTTTCAACATCAAAATAATGGCTAAGTGACTCTGCTGTCATAGGGAGGATTCTTCCCGTTTTCTTCGTACTACTGCTCAGTCCTTTGTCACGTGAGTGCTGCAGTTTGAGATATTAGACACAGATTGTTACTGGGTTTATTTTCTGGATAGTGTGGATATTTTAAGTCCAGGCTTTTTTCACAGACTAATTCAAACAGTGTTCAGTTGGACTGGCTGGTCAGTTTGGCTCTGATTTAGTGGAAAACAAATCTAGGAAAATGACAGAGTGCTTTCAGAAATAATTCTGAATGTTGACTGCTGGGAATTGCGTGTACTTATTTTGGTCTGTATGTTTTTCTTAGAAATCTGACTTGGAGAGTGGGAAATGTGTATGTATGTTTGTCCATCATCCACCTAATCATATAGTGCTCTACTGAAACATTGTTCTGTGAGGCCCATAGATAAAAATTCGAATCCTCTAGTTATTACTGAAAACAATTTTAATCCTGTGTCTATTCAGGGATGAATCAGTGAAAAAATAGATAGGCATTTTAGTAATTCTGGTTGTATTATCAGCACATTCTAAAGCTTTCCTTGAAAAGTTGGCAGAATTTTTAGCTGTACCTGAGAACTGATTCTTACGGTGTTCTGATGTAAATTGTTCTGCTTTCTCTTTCTTGACAGTCAGTCATAAACTTGTCTGTCTGGATAGATCCTGCTTTTCTGCAGCAAATGCTCTTAAAACTTTTATATGGAGTATCAAGAGAATTATGCAGAATATCAAGAGAACAGAATTCATTCCAAATTACTGGAATACTGAGTTTTTCATCACTCTTATTAGTTGGAGTAATTTTATGGCCTTTTATGTAGCTTCATTTTCAAGGTTTAAAACTGAAGTTTCATTTTGTTTTGCTTAAGTAGGTTTGAGCTGTAAAGACTCTGTGTTATCACTGGACTCTGTCTTCTACAAAACTTAGAAGTGTCCCAAATTGCACAAGATTTCTTGTTGCTTTAGGCAAGCCATATTGCTATACCCAGGTTTTCCATAGCTAAATAACTTTCTTCCTTTGAGGTGGTGTGAAATTCTCTTTCATATTGGGAATGATTCTACAACGTTGACCATAAAGGAAGTGAACATTTTAGCATGGGAGCTATGGCTTTCGTGCCTAAGGAGAACTGTTGGGATACCATTACCCTCTGTTACTGCTGTCTCTGAGAGCATCATTATGTGCCTACTCGCATCTGATATGGGCACCACAGCCATGAATGTCTGGGGAAATTTGAAGAACCTAAGTTTAAATTTTTGTCCTGGTATAATCATTCCTTAGATTTCCATTTCTTTTTCTTTACTCCATCTAATTTTATGTCTTTTCTGCTTTACTGTTTCTTTGACCATGTTTCTGTTTTCTGAAGTTCAATATCTTATTGTTTGATTTGTAATTGCTAGAGGGAACTTTTTCAGTGATTAATAAGGAGCAGTAAATACTTCAACTATGCTGTGATTTTTCTGAGTTATGCTGTATATTTCAGCTTCCTTCTGCAAGATGAAAAGTGTAGGTTTATTAAGCAATTTCTCTGGCTAGTTGAAGGAAGGCGTATTTCCTTAAACAAAAGGAAGGGCTTTAGCTTTTAAAATCACTTTGTCTGTGGGATTTCCTACCCTAAAATGTGTTAGACTATTGCTGTCATTAACTTGTGTGCATTGATGAAAGCTTATTTAATAATACACTAGAGCTTGGACCAGCTATGCTAGTATCAAAAAGGATAGCAAAAGTTTCTGAAAAAAAAATGGCTGCTGCTCAACTTCTGTGCAGTTTAAGTAGAGCAAGAAATGGTCATAGTGTGAGGTTAGGTAATTTTGCTAATGAGCTTTAAATTACTATCTGGCTTTGTCTATAGCTTGTAGCAACAAAAAAAAAGCACAGGACTTTACAAAATTGTTTTTACCAGAGAATTATGTGAAAAATGGTATTTTAAAAGGATTTTCGTATTTTCTTGCTGACTTTATTTGTGGAATCAAGTTGACAGTCTTTAAGAATCATTGCTGGGAGCTGTAGTCATGGGCTGTAATCTCTTTGAACTAAGCACCCTAGAAAACTCTTTTAATATTGTTAGTTTTTTTAGCAGTTCTCACTCCTTTCTTGTAAATTTGACTTTTTTACTAGAAAACAAGTTGAAAATTAAGGCTAATGGCCTTCTGCAAACAGCATGAACAGTGTAAACAGATGAGCTAGTAAATATAGATGCATTATGGTTGCTAAATAGAGATCTGCGTATTCATTTACTGCATGGATATTTCTCAGTAATGTAATTATACACAGTAAATTTCCATACTGGAAGTTCAAGGAATTCTAAAATATCTCAGCTGATGTGATATCTAATCATCAGTTTAAATAATTACTAGAATTGCTTGACAGTAAGCTGCAATTGTCACAGTAACTGACATATGTCTGTTCTCCAATTTGTTAAAATAACTTTATTGCAGAATAATTTGTAGGTATTCATTAGGATGACTAATAAATAGGCATGATTTGGTGTATAGTTAATCTTTTTTACTGCTCTTCACTATGTAGCTAGTACATGGGCTCATGTACTTGTAACAAACAATTTAAATCTCATTAACCTTCTCTGTATGAGAACTTGCTATCAGAAAAAAAAAACCACTATAGGCTCTATTATGAAGTCCAGATTAAAATTGTCATCTAGTATTTTTATTTAATGAAGTTTGTAATTAACATGGGAAACAAGGTTTTGAAGTATCATCATAGTGGAACAACAGACAGACATACACACACATTACTGAACATGAGAGAAATAAGAATACTTTTCTGATATCTTTTTTTCTCCTGTGGGGAATCTCATTTACCATGAAGAAAATTCATCTCAGACATATTCTAAATATATCACAAATTATTGTCAGTCCACTTCATTAATCAGTGACTGCACTTAGTGCAGTCTTTTGTATAAACAGTAATCAGTGTATAATGGAAAGACTACAAGCCCTTGATTTGACAAAAAATATTAGAAAGGCAAATAATTTCAGTAAGAATCAGAAGACACTACAGGTATGAAAAAGTGTTTTGCTAATTCTCTACACTACTAATTACATCTGACTGTAGGGAGTGGTTGCCCAGCTATTTGTTCTTGGAGCACTAGGCCTTATGTTACACTTTCTTGCATACTGCTTATTCAGATCTTACTCTAGTGCTTCATGTGTGTACAGTTCACTTAGTCAAGAAAAGCTTGCATATCTTAATTATCTTTTACTGTCACCATGCAATCTCTTCATGTAAACAGGGGCTGCTAAATTAAAACATGTCGGTCTTCAAAAGTGTTTTTTCTCTGTGTCTCTGTGCACCTTTTGTGGAGAACCTTTTATTCTTTGGAAAAGCTTCTGTACTGGTTGGGTCAGTGTGACACAAACACCCAGCAAGGTACTATCCTCTATTCTGGTATGAACAAAGCCTCAGCAAACTAAGCACTGAGTGCACATACTGGATCAAACCTTGCTGAGCCTGTTTTGGATGTATTAATATTGGAGTAGAATATGTGAAACTTTTCCAGCAAAATAAACAAGCTTGTATTGTTACCTATTCTTGCTCTGGGCCTGAATTGTATATCTCTTTGATCAGCAGATATCTTGACAGAAAACAAAGGAGTATTTTGTCTCTCTTGCTCTCAACAAGGGTGTATTAATATAATCAGAGAAGTTCCATCCATTCAGCTGGTTGTTGAACACTTGAGAGCTGCTCTGTAGAGTGTGTTCCTAGTCCTCAAAACATCTGACTACATGTCTCAAGCTGGAGAAAGACCAGTAGGTCTTAGCATACACATGTATGTAATATATATGTTTTTTTGGTTTTTGTTTTTTTTTTTTAAGAAAGCTATACAAGGCTATTGTGTGAGACGATAACATTATATTCACCATGTAGTTTTAAAGGCCTACAGAGATGGTAGCCTTTGTTTTGGACATCTCACTCAAAACTGATCAAGATGACCACAATTTCTAGATAACTGACAGCTCTTTTACGTGGAATGGTAACTTGGCCTGACAGTGAGAATGTGAGATATTTAAACTGCTGTTGCAGTGACTGCTGATACTGGGCACCGTCATGGGATCTTACGTTCCTCTTTGCATGGCAGGGAGTAGCAAAGTTTTTTATATAGGACTAAAACAGTGATAATCTTTCTTAGATCTTTCTTAGATCTGAGAAAACATCCTTGACAGGATTTGAAAACTTCCATGTACCTGCGACAAATTCAGTGCCTCAGCATGAAGATAAAATTCAGGACTGTGGTCTTTTCTCAAACCCTAGAGAGTTGAATGACTGAAGTGCTTCTTTTTAAGATACCTGTTGAGGCGCACCTTGTCCACAGTAACTGTCTGGTGCTTCTGTAAGGGAACATCACCGTTTTCAGAGTTGTATCTCTCTTTGGTATCATTTAGTGTATTTGTGAGATGGAAAGAAAGAGTAATAATCTGATTTCAGAAGCATTCTAGTAGGTGACTTCATACCTGGATGATTGACTGAATTGACATTTCGAGTTTTGGGCACCACTATCAAATTTTGCTGCTGTGGTCTGCCTTGGCTTAAAGATAATGAAGACAAATTGCTTCTGTCCTCCAAATAAAAGATACCTATAATAGAAGGATGCTTTTGACTGTACACAGCACCTACCTATCTTCTGGAAAACAAATAATCTAAACCCTTTTAGCAATTTACAGGCTCACCTATGGGCAAAAAA